GAACCCCCCCCCCCCCCCCAAAAAAGATCAGGTCCTTAGCTGCTTTTTTTCCCCCCCTCAGCGGAGCTTGGCTATGCAAGCTGCCACTGGGTCATGCAGCCTCTGAGTTGTGGGGGGCTCTGGTGCTTCCCTCTGTGATGGTGATGCCTCTTGGGGCCACCCACATAGGCTGCCAGCTGCATGGAAGCTGCCCCAGGTCACGGGCAGCACCCACCAAATCCAACTCTTCCTCAAGCCTGCACCGGGAGAAGCACCCAGCAGGCTTCCAGCACATGGCCCCAGAGAAGTTGGATCTGTCAGGATGCTGCCTACAAGCTGGGGCAGCACCCATGCAGCTAGCACCCCACCTGTGCAGCCGCTTGGCGGCACAGCCACCATGGAGGGAAGGACTGCCCCCACCCCCCACAGCTTAGGGACTGCACAGCCCAGTGGCAGCTTGCATGGGCAGGCTCTGCTAGGGGGAGGGGAAAAAAAAGCAGCCAGGGGCCTGATCTCCCTTTTTTCCCCCATGCAGAACCTACCTACATCTCCCACTGCTGGGGGATGAGCTGCCAGTGGGTCCTGAGCTGTGGGGGCCCCCAGATCTTCTCTCCATGGTGGTGGCACCCCTTGGGGCTACCTGGTTGGGTGGCTAGTGGGTGGGTGTTGCCCCAGCTTGCAGGCAGCACCTGGCCTGATCCAACAGTTCCCTGAGCCCAAGCTGGAACAGCACCCACCTGCTAGCAGCCCACCTGGGAGGTCCCAGGGGGCACCGCCACCATGAAAGGAAGGGCCAGCGTTCTCTGCAGCTTACAGGCCACTTGACACACTGGCAGCTCTCCCCCTGGCTGTGGGAGACGCAAGCAACTCCATGAAAAAAAATTAAAAAGGATCTGGCCTCTCACTTCTTCTGCTTTCAGTTTGCATCACCCACGGTGGTGGGGGGTGAGGGGCAGGGACAAGTTGTCAAAGGTTGCACTTGCACTGTTACAAATATCTACATTGTGAATTAATTTACATGTGGATGTGGTTTAATTTGCAGAATAGCAAACTCATTTAAATCTTAAAAAAAACCCACACATGTACAGCATAACACAAATAAATTGCAAAAACAGCCAATTTTTGTCACATGTACAAGCACCCAGGGATTTAAACCCTGGACTGAGATGATTGATGAATTATGGGAAGAGTTAACTGAAACACTCCTGTTTGAACAGTCTTTGTTTTGATCTATTTGAATTGACAGATGTCTAAGCCTTTACAGTATCATTTAATTTTAGTATTAGCTGTCCTTTTCTAAAGTTTGTGAGAAACAAAGATAATACAATTGGCTTTTCTCTGGATCCTACCATTGAAACTAGGCTTAGTGCTAACATTATCCTTTAGAGTTAGGGTGGTATCATGGTAACAGTTTTGATCATATTCAAATAAAGGTTTGTTTGCTTCTATAGCAAAACCTGAGCCTGAAGTATCTCTTCCCACACAATTTCTTTGGAAGTTACAAATATAAAATAACAACAAAGTGATTTAATGTTTTCACAATTTTATTTCAGTTGTTTTCAACAACTATAGAATTCACTACTTCAGAGGTAAATAATTCTGAAGAATGCTGGTATAAATGTACATATTTTAATAATTATTGCTTATATGTAATTATTTTATTATAATTAATACTATTTGATATAGAGTTAATTAATAGCATTTGAACTATCTTAAATATAATGAGTGTTAGGGCTCATTACCACCTAACAACTATGACCCCAGCTGACTTCTTGCCCCTCGGGCAGGAGGCTGGACTCGATGATCTTCTGAGGTCCCTTGCAGCCCTAACGTCTATGAAATCTATGAAAACTACTTATACTAATGTCCCTGAACTCCTTTGGTAATAATGACCTTCATTCTTCTACAGTGGTCTTACTCTTCCACTAACTAGATTGCCTATTCTACTTTACTACTTTAATCTAATAACTGCTTCTGATACAATTTTCATGCTTCTTGTTTACAGGCCCCCCACCATTCTTCCAAGCAGACTGTTTGAATTTACATAAAAAGAGACCTTCTTTTTTCCCTGTTTGCTATTTAGATTAGGATTAGGGTATACATCCCACTTTGCCTGAGACAGTCCTGGATTTTGGAGGCTGGTCGCAACTGGCCAGTGAAAATTAAAATGAGCATCCCAGGCATGGGGCGTCGGCCAGGGAGGTGAAGCGGCACAAGCTATGAAATAGGAAGCCTTAACAGACAGAAACTTTGCCTTAAAATAGGTTAGCTTGATTAGTGGAATGACCATTAATAAGAGGAACAGATTGTTAACAGCTGTGAAGTACATAACAATGGGTCATTAACAGATCATTGGCTCCCTTAGCTCCCTGAATAGTAATATCAGAGCTGTACCATGCTGCTCCACCCCTGTCTCTGCCTGCAGCAGTGCCACTGACTTGAGAGGTCGGGGGTGGGGCAGTGTCCTGGATTTCACATTGTGGCATGTGGTCACCCTATTTAATTTGTGTCTTTTTTTTCATGAACAAGTGCTCTATCCACTAGGAGATTGTATAATAGTTGGAAAGCAGCAGCATGATAACTGTCTTGTTTTGTGCTGAACTCAGTTAGGGGGGGCAGTAGGTGTGATCGTAGTGTATGTGCTTAAACTCCAATTGAAATCTCTTAGTGCCTAGTTGAATCATTTAATGCATTTACATGGCCACTTAGTGTTTGGCTGAGCTCTCCCTTATCTTTAAGAATTCACTATTTCCAGGGAATTGGCATGAAAAATGTTGAGCAAACTTCTCTCTGCATTGTACAAAAGTAGTCATTCCGTATGTGGAAATCCAATTACAATAATAGACATTTTGAATGTAGGTCAATGGCAGATCATTTTGTCCCTATTTGGAAGTAAGCGTTTTCTGAGGTACTACGCTGAAAAATGAACTGCCGATGACCACATGGGCCAATGGGTGTGGATTCCTTGAGAGAGAGAAATGCAACTGGTTTTCTGGTAATAAGTTAAAAGTTTACTTTAATTACTATTTAATTGAAGTTGCAAAGAGAAATAGGCATTTCACATAGCTCTTATCACAACTAATCCAGAAAGAAGTGATTAAGCTTAGGAGGGTGGTGATCAGTTTCTTTCTAATGTACTCTTTTGGACCATTTTTCTTTCAGAGGATGTATAGGCCCTGACTTAAGAGTTCACAGCTCATCAAAAATAGTATTGTCCTCTGAACCAGACTGCAGACTGCATCTTATCTATGAACTTGTTTTCATACATCTGTTAGATTAATTAAATTAACAGCCTCTCCTTCACTCTATTCGTTGTCTAGAAAAATTTCTAAGTATTTTCTGAAATAAAAAATTATATTTCTGCATTGCACATGGCAGAGGTAAGTGGAATTATGTTGCATTAATAGCAAATATGCATTAATAATTCAACAAAGAAAATATTGAATATAATTTAAAAAAAAAAAGAATAACCAAACTTAGCCTCCCAGGGCTGTATTGTTACACCTGAAATGGTAGTGAAATGTTATAGGACTCAGCCCCCAGCAATTCCTAAAGGCTTATATAAAATCATAATGGTGTTAGGCAAGTCACAAAAAACCCAGTGACATAGATATGAGTGGCCTGAAGCTGTTGATTATTTTTAGGCTCTTTTCAAGTTTCTCTCATTTTCAAGTAAGCCATGTGTGCCTACAAATGAGGTATAATGTTGGTTATTTCTGGATGAATGCACTTAATTATCTCTAAAAATCATTTAATCAACAGATGTCTCCTCCTCCTTCCTTTTGTACTAATCATTCTCTGCAGTTACAAAACTTTTTTCTGTGTTCTTGATTCTCTCTCTCTCTCCTTATTCTTCTCCTGGGCAGTGTTTCATCTTGAAACAAAGATGGGTATCTGCTTAAGTTATACCAGAGAATCATTCCCTCATGTACTGATCACATCCATGAGCCTTATCTATCCTGCAGTTAAAAAATATATATCCCAGAATGAAATATCATTTTAGAAATTTGTGCAGTGATTGTAATAACTAATGGTTAAAAGCACTACCAGAACCATCAATACTACATTATAAATAAGAGATCAAGGACAGAGTTTCACTTTACATGGATAAATGCCTGTTACACAGGTATGTAACTACAGTTTTTGCCAAGTCTAAGGTCTGCAATTCTGCTCTGGGTATGCAATCATCCACATGCCTACTGAGGTTAATTATTAGGGCTGCAGTGTGGCCAGGCCAATATGGTAATGCTTGCTTATCCAGGTATATATGCAAGGCTGGGTAAATACCAAAAATGTAGCTAGGTGACTCCCCCAGACTAGTTGGTATTAGAGGCCAAGGGAGGCAGGCCCTCCAGTGTTTTAACCTAAGAGATTAGTAATTAAGGCACTTGCCCAAGGGATGGAAGACCCAAGCACCACTTTGCAACTCTGAGAGGATCTAAACCTGCATTTCCTGCTTCCTAGCATAGTGCTCTAATCACCAGACTACAGATTAGGCAGCTGCCAAGCCCCTCTTCCCCATACCCTTGAAACTGACTCATTTGGCAGCCAAGTGGTGCCAGGAGGAAATGTACAAAACAGAGCATGTGAGATTCAGTAAGATAGAAACCATCCTGGCTGCATGGTCCCTACATTGTAGCTTGGGCTGGTCCTCTCAATGGTACAAAGAATTCTATGTTTGTTTTTATCCAATGAATATTAAATGCAAGGTCCAATGTGGCAGCTTCAGGAGAAAGTTTCTCTTACTACTCATCCTCCTTCACCACCACCTTGTTTCTGATAAATATGCATGCAGATATGAAGCATTCAATGGACTACAAATTGTGTGTAAGTGCTACATGAGCAAGTACATGGAAATAGTATGCTGCCCCGATTATCCAAAGATCAGGAAAAGTTCAAAATGAAGGTTCCCTTTACAAAGTTAACATCACAGTTAACATCTGATATATGTTAAGGACAAAGAACAAAATACCATATTAAGATTTAGATTCTAAAATGGAACAAGAAATAGGAAATAGTGCATTTACAGAATGAATGTTGCTGGATCAACTTTATATTTTTAAATATCTCAGCTTTGGAATTTCTGATCTTGCAAACATAATATGATGATTCTAATGTATATAATATGATCATTTTAAAGGCTCTATCTGTATTATAAACCCAAATCCTCTCACAGATAAAATAATAATGACTTCCTTTGCTCTAGAGATGGTGAATTTTGGGTTGATAAACAATTGATCGAGTCACAATAATGTAATGATTGTTTTGCTACCTCAGTGAAATTATAGTGAAATATTCCTGTTGTTAAAAGAGGAGTTGATATAATTGTTGTTGATTCATTGGCAACACAGAAAGTTGAAATAATGGTCACACTTGAATGACATATCAAGTGTCATTCTTCCAACCTCTTCCAACCAGAAGTGACTTGGTCTGCTAGACTTGGTCCTGGCCAAAGGAGACAACTTGGTGACCAGTTGAAATATAGATGGAAGTCTGGGTGACAGTGACCATGAAACCATCATGTTCACTGTCTGATGTACGGCAGAAAAATCTGATAGCAGGATTGAAGTCCTGGACTTCAAAAATGCAAATTTCAACAAGCTTAGGTCACTAGTAAGGGAAGTGCAGTGGGACCAGGAACTGAAGGTGAAAGATGTGTATGGAGAGTGGTTGTTCCTTAAGGACACAATCTTTGAAGCTCAAAGGAAGTCCCTTCCCATGTGCAGAAAATGTAGCTGAAGGACTGGGAAGCCTTCTTGGCTAAACAGGGAAATCACAGCCCTCTTAAGAAAGAAGAAAGAGGCTTATAAACAGTGGAAGCTTGGGCACAGCCCCAAGGAAGACTTTTCTATGACAGCCTGCATTTGCAGGGAACAGTTAAGAAAGGCTAAAGCAGCAACCAAACTTAGATTATCAGTGGGAATCAAGGACAATAAGAAATCCTTCTTTGGGTACATAGGGAACAGGAGGAAAACAAATGGGAGTGTGGGGCTATTGCTCAGCAACTCAGGAGAGCTGGTTACTAGCACCCAAGAAGAAGCTGAACTCCTGAATGACTACTTTGCTTCGGTCTTTCACCAGACTAAGGGGAAAACAGTGCCAGGTAGAGTACTACAAGATGAGCTTGGTAGGAATAATCATCTTCTTACTATTAATAGGTTAATAAATTATCAGGAGATGGAAGGGACCTTGTAGATCATTGGGTCCAGTCCCCCTGCACTAGGCAGGAAAAGACAACTTGGGTCAAGGGACCCCAGCGAAGTGACTGTCCAGTCATTTTGCTGTAAAACTGGTGAATGCCCAATTTAAAAAAATAGATATATACAAGTCAGTGGGACCAGATGATCTTCATTTGAGACTGCTGAAGGAGCTGGCTGAAATAATTGTGGAACCCCTGGTGAAACTCTTCCACAACTTGTGGTGCTATGGAGAAGTCCCTGAGGATTGGAAGAGGGCCAGTGTTGTGCCCATCCACAAGAAGGGCAGGAGGGAAGACTGGGGTAACTATAGGCCAATCAGCCTAACTTCCGTCCTAGGGAAAATCCTAGAAAAGTTCATCACCGAGTCCATCTGCAAAAGCTTGCAGAAGGTAAGATTCTGAATGACAGCCAGCATGGCTTTATCACAGGCAGGTTCTGCCTTACCAACTTCATCTCCTTCTATGACCAGGTAACTCACCAGCTGGACACAAGAGAGCAGGTTGACATTGTGTACCTTGACTACCAAAAGGTCTTTTATCTAGTATCCCACAATGTCCTTGTCAGAAAATTGGAAGATTGTGGGCTTAACTCCAAGACAGTCAGGTGGGTGAGAAACTGGCTGCAGGATAGGACCCAGAGAGTCATAGTGAATGGATCTGTGTCATCCTGGCTAGAAGTGGGCAGCAGTGTCATGCAGGGGTCAGTGCTCGGTCCAATACTTTTCAACATCTTTATTAAAGATTTGCATGTGGGGGTGAAG